AGACATGGGAATATTAGGGAGCACCCCAGAAGCCCCTATCCTGGCTAAAGACTATCTCCTGAGACCCTCCCTTAGCCCCTCAGACTGGACTGGATCACCTCATTAAGAGACCCTCCTGGTTGAGTGGAGTGGCACATGTATGTAATCCCAGTGGCTAAGAAGGCTGAGGCAGGAGGATCACAAGTTCAAAGCCAGCCTCAGCAATCGGCCAGGCCCTAAAGCAACTTAGCAAGACCTGTCTCGAAATAAAACATAAGAAGGGCTGGGGATGTGGCTCGCTAGTTAAGCACCCCTAGGTTCAATCCTTGATACCAAAAAAGAAAAAAGATTGCTTGTTTGCATGATTTTGGGGTCTGGCAAGAAAGCATAAGAGGCTATTAAAAAAGGAATAAAGATTACTTTGATATGTTGGGGAAAAAAAGAGGGAGAAAAAAGAAACCCTCCTGAACACCTGTGCGGTGGCCCATATCCACCGTGTGGTTCTGGATGGGTTTATTTATCCTTTCTTTTTTTTTTGGGGGGGTGGATTTTTTTACTGGAGATTGCACTCAGGGGCACTCCACCACTGAGCCACATCCCCAGCCCTATTTTGTATTTTATTTAGAGACAGGGCCTCACTGAGTTGCTTAGCACCTTGCTGTTGCTGAGGCTGGCTTTTTAACTTGGGATCCTCAAGCCTCAGCCTCCCAAGCTGCTGGGATTGCAGGTGTGTGCCACCACGCCTGGCTTTATTTATCCTTCTTCCCAGCAGCTCAGTCTCGCCCAGTGCCTGGCACACAGTGGCTACATCATAAATGTTCATTGATTAATTCCCACGTCCTGTGAAACATGATACCTTTAGATGTGAAACCTGCCTACACTATAAGATTCTGGACAAGTTGCATCATCTTTTCCTTTTATTTTCCTTATTCATGGGGTGGTCCTTGAGAGTAAATTAAGAGTGTCTATGAAGTGCTTTTTAAAGAGCCGGGTGCATGGTGAGCTCTCAGATCCTTCCTGTTTATGATCACTGTAAACCAGAGGCTGATGGCTGAGGGCTGCCTGCCACTCCTTCCTTTCAACTCAACTCTCTCTCTCTTTTTTTTTTTTTTAAAGTGGGTAGAAGAGGGGACTCCAAAAGGAGAAGTCCAGATGGGTGAAATGATGCCTTACTTTAGTAGTGAAGGTGACATCCAGTCAGCCAGGCAACGACACCAAGAAGACCGTGTGTGCCACAGCCTGTTCTAGAGGAAACAGAAAATAGAATTTCCCAGCAGATCAGAGTCCAGCTGAACCAATTTACCAAGCTCACTTACAGAGCAGCAATTCAAGAGCATTCCTTTGTAGGCCCAAGAGGGAAGATGAAGGTAGACCAGGGYGAAGGCTCCTGCAGCCAAGGGCCTGGTTATTCCCAGGCCATGCCTCTTGTTGTGTCACTGTGCCACTTTAACTTCTTTGGGCGTTGATTTCCTTATCATAATGCATAAGGTCACTGTAAAGAGTACCTGAAATAATGCAGGTGAAGTACCTGGCAAGGAGCCTTGCTCTGTGAGTGCTCAATAAATGCTAGCGGCAGAGTTGCTTGCTCTCTATACATATCCTGCCTAAGATTTCTCCCTCATTGGAGCCTCACCAAACCTTGTTCTGCACATGAGGAAATAAGGCAAAGGTAAGTTAACTGGCTTGATGGGAAACTGGCCAAGCCAGATAGCAAAACCAGCCTGTGCCCTCTCGTAAAATCAGGATAATCCACCCACAATGACCAGCACCAGGGAGATGTGCTGTCTATGCTAACTTCCCCAGTGGGGCCTCTGCCATGTGGAAAAAGAGGGGAAATTTTGACAAGAGGCTGGGAGAGCAGGCCACCAAAAATCTGGTGGAGCAACTGCTGGAGTAAGGGTTCAAGATGGTTCTGAAGGCGGCAAGAAGGAGCAACCACAAGGTCCCAGGCAGCAGTGGTGCTGGGCACTTGGGCCTGGACCTCAAAGTTCAACCACAAAAGGAGCTGGGGGAGGAAGCACCTGACAGCTCTGGAGGATTTCTAAAGGTACTTTACCCGCCTCTTTCTCCTGCATTTGAAAGCACACACACAATCTGCAGCATAAGAAAAACAAACCCCAATCCAGACAGCATACTCCAACAAGCCTGCTACCTCCTGCTCCTACCCCAGGAATTCCTTACCAGGGAGTCTTTTATGATTACAAGGCAAATTCAGAACCAGTAAAAGCACAGAACCTTAGGTGGAAAAGGCCCAAGCAACCAGATGGGAAAGAAGATTTCTAAGTTTTCATTTTTGCTTAGACCAAATTTCCTGAGGCTTGAGGCATTGCCCCAAGTCACAGATGAGAAACTGGAACAAGTTAGATTCTGCAGAATAAAACTGATCCTGGCAGATGCTTCCCACTGGTCCGTTTTCATTTCTTGGATTTTCCTGTGAAGGGACGGGACTCGCCCAGTTGGGATTGATCAGTTTGTTTGGCTGAAACTGGGGACAGATCTGTCCATGTTCAAGAACTTATCCACAGGGCTGGGGATGTGGCTCAGTGGTAGAGCACTTAACCAACATGCACAAGGCCCCAGATTCAATCCACAGCACCGCAAGAAAAAAACAAATAAATAAACTTATCTACAGCATACATAGTGGCACATGTCTGAATCCAACGACTTGAGAGGCTGAGGCAGGAAGATCACAGCTCGAAGCCAGCTTCAACAACTTAGAGAGATCCTAAGCAACTTAGGAGACTCTATCTCAAAATAAAAAATAAAAAAGGGCTGGGGATGTAGCTCACGGTAAGAGTAACCCTGGGTTCAATCCCCAAGTACCAAAAGAGAAAAGAAAAAGAACTCATCTATAATCATCTCCAAATCAGACTGTCCTGATGCCCAAACACTCTTTCTAAAAGCACTACCCACTTTTGTGGGGACAACTGTTAAAGGAGTTAACAGGACCTCAAAAGAAGAGGCCTTCTGTTTGTTCAAACACCTTAAGGAAGCCGTCCAGCCTCCAAAGCTACCACCACCAGCTGCACCCGGCTGCCTAGCCCCTGGACCCCCCTTCCCTTCTCCTTGTGTTTTGAAGTTTATTTTCCCACATCTAGCCTTGAATTCTTTCCTTCCTTCCCCTGCAGGGGCAGAGGAGCAGAGTAGGGGAAACACTTCGAGGGCAGCTCAAGGCTTTATCTTCCCTGCCTGCCTGCCTCCCCCTCTAAACAAAGCCCTGGAGCAAACCAAACAAAAACTCCTCTTCTCCAGTGGAATTATTTCCTCAAGGGAAATCATAAAGCGACCCCCTTCCCACAACACAGAGATACAGCAGACACCCATCAGAAGGAGCCCATCATGTCCCAGAACGCAGGCTAAGATGAACAAAATCAACCAGTACCTTCCCCTCTTCTTTTTCATTTCATTTTATATTTTTGCATTGGGGATTAACCTAGGAGCTTTATCACTGAGTTACAAGCCCAGCACTTACACTTATAATTTTATTTCCTTTCCTTTCCTTTTTTTTTTTTTTTTTGGTACTGGGGATTGAACACAGGGTGCTTAACCACTGAGCCACATCCCCAGCCATTTTTTTTTATTTTATTTTGAGACAGGGTCTCACTAAATTGTTTAGGGCCTGGCTAAGTTGCTGAGGCTGGCTTTGAACTTGAGATCCTCTTGCCTCAGCCTGCCAGTAGCTGGTACTAAAGGCATCACCCTGACCAACCAGTACCTTCTGAAATTCATCCCCAACATCACTTCCTCCTACCTCCACCCCAGAAATTGCTCAAGGGCAGGAAACTTTCCACTGAAATGCAACATTGCTCTGCTAGCCCAAACCTTCCCTTCTGAGGACATTTTTCTAGTGGCCCAGTTGCCAGTGGGAACCTCTGCTCTTTGGTGCAAATGTCCATCTAATCTGGGGATAAGAAGAGAATACTGCTAGCAAGATGTCTTCATGTTTTCTGAAGACTTCCAACATGACAACAGTTTAGTGCAGGAAAGAGGGATGTGCATGGGTTCATTTCCGTTTCACATACTAAGGAAGCGGGCTGGAAATGAGGGACACTGGGCATGCTTCAAGTATTGGGGAGCTGCTGTACATTAAATGTTCCTCATGAGAGTTCCTTTCTGGCATCCTTCATCTCAGGAGAAATGCAACACCTTGGGTTATCTACCATCCTGGTCCTTGTCCTATTATTATTGCAGGTCAAAAATAATAGATGGTTGCCGCTGAGCCCTCAATAAACAGTTCCCAAATTGGCCCAAGGTCCCAGTTAGGATGGTCAGCCCCAGTTTACCCAAGTGAGGTCAAAGCCATCCACTGGGCGTGTGCACCAGAAGATAAGACGTCCCCAATGCCAAGCCGGAGGAAACTGCCCTCACTCCTTCCTCCGGGAAAAGGGACTCTCCGAGTTTGGTTGTTTGGGCAACCTGCTCTTTTCACAGAGTTTACTCCAAGCCCTTAAGGGCTGTCTCCCGGTGATAAGCTTTCCCGGAAGCCTGAAGGCGTCCCCGGCATTCCAGCCACCTGCCCTTCTCCAGCGGGCTCCACCCGCCAGGGTCCCCTGCAGAGCCTTTGCAGGACTCGCGCCGGGGACCTTCCCGCAACTCTGCGGAGTTCCCGTTCTGTGCAAAGCCGGGCGGGCGCGGCTCTGGCCCTGGAGCCGGGAAGGTGGAGACGCGAAGGGTGGCGCTAGGCTCGGCTCCCAGACTCCGGGAGCGTCTCCAAGGAAAGATAAACGCCTTTATCCGCCCCACAGCCTCCCTCCAAAAAGGGAGGCACCCGTACACCCACACCGAGACACCGGGCCCAGTTCACCCAGCAGGCAACCCCGAGTTCTTTCCAAGCAAACTAGGTTTCCACGAATCTCCGTGTCCCTGGGGGGAGCGACAGGTAGTCGCGTCCTGAACCACGAAGAGGCAGACAGCCTCACCTGTCACCCCAGGACCTCCCACGGACCCGTGGGGGTCTTCCCTTCAGCACCCCCAGGGCCCCGTCGACCTCAGGTGTGTCGGGGGCGCAGGGGGCGGCTCACCTGCAGGATCTTGTCCAAGCCTTCCTGGCCCAGGCACGGGAACTCCTTGAGCAGATGCAGCTTCTGTGTAGTGTAGTTTTTCTTGGCCTCTTTCCAGTGCGGCTCCTCGAGCACTTCGAAGATCGCCGCCCCGATGGCCAGGTAGAAGATGATGGCCGAAGTGAGCAGTGGGCCCCGGTCCACCATGGCTCCCTAGCGGCCGCCTCGACGCGAAACTTTCCCCCAGCCCCAGCGGCTCCGGGTCAGCCGGCCCTGCAGCCTCTGGAAACAGCTGTTTGAATTTGGAGCTCCGCATGCGCAGTACCCCGTCCCCCAAGCGCCGCTCCCGGGACAAAGTTGCTCGGCCAAGTTGGCCCTCTAAGCGCGGGGAATTGATGCGGCCCCGCTCACGCGGGCCGGGTGGGCCAACACCAATGGGATCCAAGGCGCCCTGAACCTCCGGGCGTGAGGAGCAGAGGGGACTCAGGAGCCGACTCCTCCGGGGAGACACGTGTGCGGCTCCGACGCGCGCCACTGCAGTGTGAGCCGCGCCCGCCTCCGCTCGCCTCTTTAACCCGCCCGCGCGGGAGCCTGGCAGGGGAGGGCCCCAGAGCCGACTCCGTCCAGAGGAGGCCCCGCCCCCTCCCAGGCCCCGCCCCTCCCGCCCCGCGCAGGCCCCGCGGCTGGCGAGGGTGTAACCGCGAGGTGCGCGCTGGAGTGACTACCGCGCTCCCTGAGTTCCCGGGGGCCGCTGCCAGGGAAGGCTGTGTGTGCCCAGACCTCCGTGCCCTGCAGTGCCCGAGGGGTTGCGGTCTGTGGGACTCGAGTTGGTTATTAGTGGTGGTGTGTTAACTAAACTGATTGTGCACCTTACAACTGAGGTCAGGCATTTATTGCTATTATTATTTTTCTTGTAATTGAGTTTTTGTTTACTGATATTTCTTCCAAGAAAGTTTTATTGTCGGTCTCTTCTAATCTCTCACTCACTTTGCTATTAAAAAAAAAAACTGGGGAAAGGGAGCTAGAAAGGGGCTGAAGAAGCTGTAAGGAATCTGAGGATCTCAGGGGAACTACTCCAACCACAAGTGAATGAGAGAGAGGATCCTGGGGTGTCGCCCGGATCTCACTAGCCTGGCTGAGATCCCCCACATTTGGAAGGAGCTGTCAGGAGACCACTTGACCTCTTTAATACTCCCAACCTATTTAAATTTGCAAGGTGTGCCCCCTCCCCCCCCCCAAAAAAAAGAAAGCTGGAGAGGTGTGGGGTCTGATTTATTCAATGAGGTATCCGAAACAACTCTTACATAGTAAACACTCAATAAACATGTACAATGAAGGAGTGAATGGATTTGCCAAAAACACACACACACAGGTTATTTCTCCGCTCACCTTGCTTCATTTTTCTTCCAATAAACCCCAGTACTACTTCTTTCCCATGCATCATAGTCCCGGCCTGTCATTAAACCCACTTTCTAGGGAGGAACTGAAAAAGGGGAAAGTTAGTTTGTTCAGTCTCTCCACTGAACAAGTTGGAGGGGCACACTCATTACATTGTCGTGTAACCACAGGCTGGCTCAGACTGTCTTGAGCCTCTGTAGAGGCAGGGATCCCAGAGATTGGAGTCCCAACAGGTCAGAAGGCCAAGGCAGGAGGATGGCAAGTTTGAGGCCAGCCTGGACAACTTAGCAAGACCCTGTCTCAAAAAATAAAAAAGACTGTGGATGAAGCTCAGTGGTAGAGTGCTCCTGGATTCAATACCTAATGCTAGGGGGGAAAAAGTTTCTATCTTTTATGGATCCATGGGCATGCCCCGAGGCAGAGGGCCAAGAGCTGGAGCGGGAACAGGGAAGACCAGGTTTCAGGATTCTGTGTGGCTGAACCTGTTATATCTGTCCCCTTAGATGGTTCCCTAGTCAAGGCTCACCCTGGACAAAGACTTGGGGTGCTCTCTCTGGAGAAGATCCACTCTGCAGCACCAGGTTCCCTCAGCCACCCTGAAAGATTCCCCTTCTCTACCCATCAGCCTCCTACGCACCCAGCACTCTAGCTGTGGTCTAAACCCCAACTCCTCAGTTTCACTCTTCAGTCATCAAATGGGTATGGAGATTGGAGACCAGGCCTGTCAAGGATCCTCCCTCTCTGGATGGAGCTCACCCCCTGTGTGAATCCAGCAGCCAGCACGGGGTGGGCTCCATTGGAGGGACCACAGGCTGGGAAATTCTCTACTCCCCCCATCACCTCAGGGCTATGTTCCCTTCTTAAGAAAATAAATGTCCTCTTCCTATTTCCCTCCCAGGGCCTCACAAAAACACTGCAGAATCCTTTGGGATGAATTGATTTCTAGTCAAAACTTTTGTGATTTCTGGTTTCTCTCCCCTTCTACTGCGAGCCTCCATTTCCACGTCCTTTCTCTTTCTTGCTCTTTCCACATCCTGTTCCTCTCTCTATATATATATATCTTCTCCTACTTCTTCTAAATCCTTCAACTTTCCCTGTTTCCCCAAACTCCTCTTCCTAGATCTCTGGGCTTGCCTCTCTGCCTCACCTTTGTCTCTTTCCTAGCTGAACGTGCTTGCCCTTTTCTTGTCCACTACAACACTCAGGGCACAAGCGACACCCATTCTCCTGCATGGCAGTCAGTACTGAAACCAATAGTTGTTTAAACCACATGAGCTTCAAGAATGGGAAAGGGACCAGGTGTGGTGCCACGCACCTATAATCCCAAGATCTGGGAGGCTGAGGCAGGTGGATTGTAAATTCAAGGCCAGCCTCTGCAATTTAGCAAGGCTCTGAGCAATTTAGCAAGAAGACCCTACCTCAAAATAAAAAAATAGAAAGGGCTGGGGATGTGGCTCAGCAATTAAGCTCCCTAGATTTAATTCCCGTTAAAAAGTGGGTGGGGGATGGAGTTTGGTGTATGAAGGTGGGAGATATATTTCCTACATGACTAACAGACAAATCTATTCCAACAGCTTATGTGTATTTCTTCTTATTATACTTATTCATCATGACGGAAAATCATTTCACAAGTTGTCACTCATCAGTTTTGAGAATGAAGTCGCTTTTGGTTTTGGGGTGGTATTGGGGATTGAACCCAGGGCGAGTAGGGTTGCACTCCAGTCTTTGTACCACCTCCTCAGCTCAAGTTTCATCTTGACACCAACGGATAATTAGATTTACATGGGTCCTACCTGGAGAAACTGGCAGAGGGGGATCAGTTGTTTTGCCTAAGGTCATGCACAAGCCCTGGCCAAAGGGTCCACGCCCAGTTTTGTTCCTTCCTTATTGCAATTAGGTGAAGAGACTATCCTCTTAGTAAAATAAACACTTGCTAATCCTCTCATAATGCTAAATACTTACTGTTCTACACATGCTCCTGGACTCAAGAGGGGTTACAAAGGGATAAACCCATTGCCATGATCCCATTGTAATTTAAAAATATCTGAAATTTTAAGACGGATTTTTTTTTTTTTTTTTTTAGTTGCTTAGGGCCTCACTAAGTTGCTCAGGTGGGCTTTGAACTTGCAATCCTCCTGCCTCAACCAAGAGCCGCTGGGATTATARGCGTGTGCCACAGCWCCRAGCCAACACGTTRTAATGGAGCACCACAATCCTGTACTCTGTAGAGTCTCAGTAGTTTAGCCTCATGGTCCCATGGCTGCCTGGAAGCCRTGGTCACTGCCTATCACTAGCCTGGGGAAGAATCCAAATTCAAAATCTGAAGCAGACACAATGTCACATGCCTATAATCCCAGTTACTCCAGAGGTTCAGGCAGGAGGATCTCAAATTTGAGGCCAGCCTTGGCAACTTAGTGAGACCTTATCTCAAAACAAAAATTAAAAGGGCCAGGGATGTAGTTCAGTGATAGAATACTCCTGAGTCCAATCCAGTACTAGGGGTGGGGGGGGAATTCAAAACTTGAAGTGTAGTCTCTACTGAATGCATGTGGCCTTTGTTCCAMCGTCAAAGTCAAAAATCATTGTAAGTCAGGTACCACCTATTTCTGTTTATATTTGTTCCCCTCTGAAAAATCACATCTGGTCAAAGGAGGTATATATAGCTTTTTATACAGCTACAAGCTACAAAGAACATAAAGTGGTTCAATATTACAATCACTTGAAAACCTATTTCCTTGTTTAAAAAAAAAAAAAAAAGCTCTCCAGCTCTCAACTCAAAAGGTCAATAAGTTCTATTTTTGTTTTTGTTCTTGTCATATTGCAACAGTATTAAATGCTTTACTAAAAGCTTGCATTATACATTTTATCAGCTTTTATCAGCTTCTTCTATTTCTAATAGGTTATTTTGAAACCTGGGGGAAAATCTCTGTTAAATTTTCACRTCCACAAACCTCCACTTATTCAGTTAGAAAGACTTCTGAGTGGTAAATTCAGCATACATAGTAAGGCAACTTCTTGTTTTACCTTTCTTTTGTATTTGTTTATTTTTATGTGGTGCCAGGGATGGAACCCAGTGCCTCACGCATGCTAGGCAATCGCTCTACCACTGAGCCACAACCCCAGCCCCTTGTTTTACATTAGGGAAAAAAAAAATCACAGAACAAAATAAAATCGAAGAGCAGTAAAGTTGCTATATTTTATATATTTTTTAAAAAGTAGTGAATATTACTCAGCCTTCAAAAAGAAGGAAATTCTGATGCTTGCCTAAACATTTATGAACCTTGTGAACTGTATGCTAAATGAAATAAACCAGGTGGTAAAAAAAAAGAAATATTGCATTATTCTACTTTTATTAAGTCATCTAAAGTCAAACTCTTAGAAACAGAAAGTAGAGTGAAGTTGYTTGCCAGGGACTAGTGGGAAAGGGAAATCAAGTTGTTGCATAAGAGTTAAAAATGGGTATAAAGTTTCAGTTTTGCAAGATGAAAAAGTTAAAGATTAGTTGCCCAGTGATTTGCATATAAATAGCATTACTGTACTGTACACTTACAAATGGTTAAGATGGGTTTTTGGTTTGTTTTTTTGGTGCTAGGGATCAAATCTAGAACCTCCAACATGCTAAGCAAGCATTTTACTACTGAGCTGCATAGCCAAGATAGTAGATGTTGGGGTTTTTTGTTTATTTTTGTTTTGAGTAGTTTTAATAGTAGGGACTGAACCTAGGAGCACAGCACTTTACCCAGKCCTTTTTATTTTATATTTTGAGACAGGGGTTTTGGTGAGTCTGGCCTCAAACTGTGATCCTCCTGCCTCAGCCTCCTGAGTTGCTGGGATTACAGGCACGTGCTACCATGCCCAGCTATGCTATGTATYTTTTATTACCATAAAAAAGAAAAAGAAAACTAGTGCAATGTGGCAAGGCATGYCTCTAATCACAACTATTCAGGAGGTTGAGACAGGAGAATGTAAGTTCAAGACCAGTCTGGACAATTTAGCAAGAACCTGTTTCAAAATAAAATTTAAGAAGGGCTGGGGATGTAACTCAGTGGTAGAGTACCCCTAGGTTCAATCCCAGTCTAAA